CCCCCCCCCCCCCCCCCCAATATTCGATCTCTTCATCTGAGTAGAACGACCGCGCCCTCCAAAAAACTCTCCATCGCTCGTGTTTCGTAGAGTAGCTGGTTAATGTCTACCCACCGAAGGAGTTTTACGCGAGTGCGCAGCGCTTGTTGCGACGCCGCCGTCAATTCGTCGAGCTCCTTCGAGAGTAATACTTGATAGTCACTAGGCGTAGGAAGAGATTCCCTTTCGACGCGGAAACGATCACTACGGACGGCCGTGGTGAATGGACCCTGCATCAAGCATCGTCCCGGAGTGCCGCGCTCTCGCTGGTTTCTCTCAACGGATTGGAGGAAAGAAATAATCTCATAATCGCAGTTCTGGACTCTGAGTGCCCAGACTTGCAGTTGGTGCCGTTGGTAAGCCCAACATGATAACTCACGATCGGTAGCAGAGCAACGCCCTAACGACAAGGAAAAGTGTGAAAGTCGGGGACAGTGGAAGTGGTCGCGAATTACCCGGTGGATGCTACTCCACCGTTTAAAGTGGAAGACCTCGAGCACGGCTAAACCTTCGAGTCTGATCGGGCCTTCGAACGGGCATACGTGCTGTATCCCCGACAGGACCAAGTGGCGAAGATGTGATCCGGCGAGGGACAGCCAGTTCGTAGATAGAAACAGTCGATCGATATGGATAACTTCTAGGCGAGGTATAATTTGCTTACCTTTAATGAGGTCACGTGCCCAGCTAGAATGCTCTTCCAATTTAGGGATCCCGCGCATCGTCAACTCTTTTAGCTCAGGGAGTTGGCGGAGTCGGAGTTGGGGCGCGCTTTGTCTAATGAAACCCTTGGGAAATTCCAAATGCAAAGTGACGAGACTTCTCGGTAGCTCGATTCGGAGATACCCTTCGATGCGCCCGACGGGATCTGACCAATGCGGCGGAGCGCAAGTAAGTGTCAATTTGGTCAACCGCATTCCAGAGAGAAAAAATCCGTTTAATGAAGAGGTCGATAGCTCGGTCAAATGTGCCACATCTCTCCATTGGACCCGAGATATGATAACTTGCGGAGGGAGACTACGTCCTTGCCCGGTCAGTTGATCATTTTCATCACGGAATGGAGGGTAGGGGTTACGATGAACACTGACTCTAGAGCTGTCAGGCGTGTCATTTGCCTGATCCGATCCCACAAATCGGCGAAGTCCCTTTCGTCAAGGTCTCTTTCGTCAGGGCGTCTTCCGTCAGGGCGTCTTCCGTCAAAGTCAACGGCTCCCCGGAATGAGTAGCGTAGTTCTGGAGGTGGTCGGCGTGGGGCAGAGAGTGTTATGTGCTTGAGGTACCCGCCACCTCCCTCGATCACCCATCGGCGCTGCAACACCTCATACCTCGACAACGCACTTAGGGGGTATTGGATGGTCGATACAAACGACGCCGGCCGGATGGGACAAGATACGCGGTCCTGGATGCTCGCACTCAATATATCGAGGAGACCTCGGCTAGTCAAGCTAAACGAGATGCGATCTAGAACTGTCAGCTGTAGCGAGTGTTAGCCATAAGTTTGGCACCACGGAGACCCGTTCGTCCCACCTCGCCGCTGATCAGTAACAAGATCTCAGGAGGGAGGCTGCCCATTGGAGAGTCCTTGAAAGGCAATCTCGCACCGATTTCCATCGCGTCGCCGATCTCCGTCGTCTGATGGCGTGGACGGGGCTTCTCCGGATCCACGTATCCGTACTGACGACCTGGTGCTGTGCGCTCGCATGTCAGAACACACGCAGGAGGGCACGGTCTAGAAATGGATTGTTTCTGTTCATCGACGATGTCATCGTACTGTTCGACCTGCCACGTAAGGAGATGTACTATCCATCCTCCAGTCTGGGAACGAATCACAACCACACCGTCGTGGCTGATGTCCAGCACGTTATTGATATTGTTCAACAATTCAAATCTTCCACCAGCTGCCCAAGCATACGCTTCCATCCACCGGCTGTCGTCGTCCGGGTCCAGAAGGGTTGGAAGATTCCGCCAGTGGCATCGGAGGCGGCCAGCTTCATCCGTCTGTGGGAAGGAGCAGCTGCCGCCTGTCAGAGCTTCGCATGGCCACTCGGTACCGAATACGTATAGATTCCCAGTTACGTCGACGTGAATGGCCATTAGGTACGCCGTGCCATCCAAATCCACCACGCGGACATAGGACAGCCGGAGGCAGGCATTGTGGCCACCCAAATCTGAAGTCTTGGGCCCGCTGAGCTTTAAGAAAGCCCCTGAGGCAAATGGGTCGCCCCGTCGTGAGAGTTCGCTGATAGTAATGTCCGCTGAGGAGGTATAAGCGATCAGGCGATCCTGGAATATGGACAGATCGACGACGGATCCGTCACAGAAGTTCTTCGGTCCCCAGAAAACAAGGGTGTTGGTGTCGCACTCCATCGGGCCGTACTCCAGGGCCAAGATGCGCCCCTCCGAGAACCCTACATAGCAGTTGACGTCGTCGAGCGCTATGCAGTTCGGTTCGGCGCACGATGGAGGTAGTGTGACACAGACCGCGAGCACGTCACCCTTCCATATCCGTATGACTCCTCCTTCGTGCGAGGTAGCCACTACTTGCTCACCGCCCCGCCTGTATATTGGCATCTCGTTAGCCTTTAGCTAGCGTGCAGTGGACTACACCCACCTGTGAATGGTATGAGCGACCACAGGTGACATTGGTTCGATTTTGTCTTCTAATATTGTGCGACATCTTGTGGAGGGTTTAGTAGATGTCATTAGGCAGAGTTACAGCGATGAACACCGAAAATAATATGCTCTAAGCCCTCTCCCGACACGTGAAGATTGAGAGGCGACAGTACCCCTCGCTATCACGCTGGCAACTGGGACGTTGGTACCTAAACAGCTAGGAGAGGAAGGCGGTATATAGCAGCAAAACGTTCCATCTTATCAAGAAATAAAATAGCCCACCCGTAGCACCAAAGTGAGAATACGTGATTTGAGCTTCCTACGAATGAGCGCGGAGAGTGTTACAGTTCGGTTTTGCAGAAAGCCGTTAATTTTTCTCCTTTTAGTGGCGGGAAAGATGTACGACGAAGCGGTCGCAACTAGGATGATAGAGAAATATCATTGTTCAGGGGCGACGAAAATTCCGCGTCGACGCTTTTTTGGAGATGCCAAATTCTACCGAGTGATTATACAGTAACTTATAATATCACTAATCCAGAACGACCTGAGGTAGATACGACGGCATTAGAAGACATCAAGGCTGCCGTATGCTGCGATGCTGCATATCAATGTGAGATCCTTCGACTTATCCGCTCTCTTTGAGTTTCTAGTTCACCCGCTAGATCCGTACAGCCGCTTGCTGCCTGCGTACTCCTAGGACGGCATCTTTACTATCGCGGTATCTATCAAGGTTCTGCTGATAGTTCTGTATGGGGGGATTTTGTTGGACGGCCTCTTGGCCATTGTGCCGGATCATCGTTCCCGGAGCCCAACTCCGTTCTCACCACGGACAAAGTGTCATTTCATCACAGCGAGCGCATGAATCAAATGTGATATATGACGGATGTCAAGCTCATTTGTTTAACCCCACACTCTCCGCGCTCGAATCCTATCGAAGAGTGACCCTCGCTGAGTCGAAAAGATTCGTTCAAATCGCACGGGAGAGATATGCGAAGGTGGCCCTGAAACAAGGCTTTGCGGCGTTTCTCGAGTGGTGTGTAAATGTAGTGGGAGAAAGGAAGCAGAGTGCCAGGAGTCACTTCAGGCACGCGGGACGGATGAGTGAAGAACTGGAAGCGAAGCGTTTGCCGATTACAGTGTGATAGATTGCAGGCTCTGCGTCCATAGAGTGACTGGCGAGTTGAAATTGAGGAAGGTCGATTTCAGCGGATAGTCACTCTTCTTTGCACTCCGCCGAGATCGAGTGCCCGTGTCCACCACGTTTGCGCCATGACGGCCTTTTTGAGGCCGGCCTCGTACTAGTTGTCGTGTAGAAACGTCAACAAGATTTTTGCGCCCGTTTAGCGTGGTAGATTGCTTTTGAGAATTTACATTTCTCGTGATCATGACAGGAGTGAGGGTTAGCTTTCGACGCTACTGGCCGCAAAACTAGGTCTTTGATCCGACCCTGTTTAGGGGTGACAGGCTAAGCCACAGCCACAGGCCCGTTGGAAGACCTAGTCTGATCGATCTTCTCAGCCACGATAGTGGGGATAAATCTCGAAACGTTGCATTCTACCTTCCAGAGGCCAACTTCGAGGACATTTGGGACAACCAGGAAGAAATTCCTTACCAGAAAAAGGAAGCGATATCAGCCCTACGTGCTTGTGCCACGGAGACACGCTCGCCCAAATTTGTAACCCATGGTTATCCTCTCTTCCTTCTAGGTCCACTACTGCTTCCTGCGATGGGTCCTAGAAGATGCCCTCTCAAATTGAGCTCTTTCTCTTTCTCTCCTCCGGGATTCGATATCGAAGTAGAATGGTCCCGTCCTCCAAACACTTTCCGTCGCTCGGGTTTCGTAGAGTGACTCGCTCACGTCTACCCACCGAAGGACTTTTGCACGGGTGTTCAACGCTCGTCGCGATGCCGCTGCCAATGTGTCGAGGTCCATAGAATCTAATGTAGTATGGTCATCTTGCGTAGTTAGAGATTCCATTTCGAGGCGGAAACGATCTCCATTGCGGACGGCATTCTTGAATGGACCCTGGACCAAGCATCGTCCGGGAGTGCCGCTCTTTCGTTGACTTAGTACTACGGATTCGACAAAGGAAAGCATCCTTCCGTCACCTCGCTGGACTCGGAGTGCCCAGACTTGCAGTCGGTGCTGTTGGTAAGCCCAACGGGGTAACTCAGTATTGTCAGAGGAGAAATACCGTAATGACAACGAAAAGTGGGATAGCTGAGGACAATCGAATCGGTCGCAAATGATCTTAGGGACGTTACTAGTAGCCATCCCCTCGAAGACCTCGAGCACGGCTAAACCTTCGAGTTTGATCGAACCCTCGAACGGGCCCAAGTCCTTCATCTCCGACAGGACCAAGTGGCGAAGATTTTGTCCGGCAAAGGACAACCAGTTCGTAGATATTTGGAGTTTATGGATATGGATGAATTCGAGGCAGGGTGTGCCTTGCTTACCTTTAACAAAGTCGCTCCCCTGTCCCAGGCCCACGCGTGTTATATCATGTCCATAGTCAAGGACCCCACGCATCGTCAATTCTTTCAGTTGAGGGAGTTGCCGGAGGCGGAGTTGAGGTGCTCTTTGTTCACTGAAACCTTGGGGAAATTCTAAATGCAAAGCGATGACGCTTCTCGGTAGCTCAATTTGGAGATAATTGTCCATGCTCGAGGCGTTGTGTGACCCCTCCTCCCCAGTGCAAAGAAGTGTCAGTTTTTTTAACCGCATCTCCGAGAGAAAAGCACCGTTTAAGGAAGAGGTGGATAGTTCGGTCAAATGCGCCATATCCCTCCATTGGAGCCGAGGAAGAATGACCTCCGGAGGAAGACTGCGTCCTTGCCCGGTCAGTTGATCATTTCAACACCGGAGGGGAGGGGAGAAGCTGCGCGATGAACACTGACTCTAGAGCCCGCAGGTGTTTCATTTGCCTGATCCGACCCCACAAGTCGGCCAGGTCCCTCTCGTGAAGGCCTTTCGTGAAGATGCCGCACAGCTCTAGACGTGGTCGTGGGAGAGAGAGTGCTACGCGCTCGAGAAACTGACCGGCTCCCTCTGTCACTAATCGGCGCTGCAATGCCTCACACCTCAACAACGCACTCAAGGGGTATTGGATGGTCGAAACGTGCGACGCCAGCCGGATGGGACAAGATACGTGGTCCTGGATGCTCGCACTCAATATATTGAGGAGACATCGGCTAGTCAAGCTAAACGAGATGCGATCTGGAAATGTCAGCTATAGCGAGTTAGCCATGGGTTTTGCACCACGGAGACCCGTTCGTCCCACCTCGTCGTTGACCAGTAACAAGATCTCAGGAGGGAGACCGCCCATGGAAGATTTCTTGAAAGGCGGTCTCGCACCGATTTCCGTCGGGTCGCCGATTTCTGTTGTCTGATGCCGCAGGCGGGGCCTCTCGGGGTTAACATACACGTACTGACCCCGCGCTTGTGCCTCGGGTTCACATGTCAGAGCACACGTAGGAGGGGACGGGTTGGAGACAAGGGATCGACTCTGTCCGTAGGCGATGTCGTCGTACTGTTCGACCCGCCATGTCAGGAGGTGCACCATCCACCATCCTCCCATCGATGCACGAACCACAACCACACCGTCGTAGCTCACCTCCAGCACCTTTTGGGCGCCGCTCAACATTTGGAACCCTCCATCATCTGCCCAGGCATGCTTGTCCATCCACCGGCTGTCGCCATCCGGGTCCAGAAGGGTTGGGAGATTCCGCCAGTGGGAATGAAAGCTGCCCGCTTTATCCGTCTTTGGCAGAGAGCAACTGTCGCCCGCCAGCGCTTCGCGTGGCCACTCTGTTCCAAGTACGTACAGACGCCCATACGCGCCAATTTGAACGGCCATTAGGTACGCTGTGCCATTTAAATCGACCAATCGGACAGAGGAGAGCCAAAAGGTAGCATCGAAGCCACCGAACATCGAATAACTGGGTTGGCTCAGCTTCAACGAAGTTCGTGAGGCAAATGGGTCCCCGTGTCGTGAGAGTTCCATGACGGTGATGTCCGTTGCGGTGCAGGCGATAAGATGATCCTGAAATATGGAAAGATCGACGATGGATCCGTCGCAGGATTTCTTCGCCCAAAAGAAACGAGCAGTGCCGGCATCGTACCCGATCGGGGCGTACTCAATGGCCAAGATGTGGCCCTTCGAGAACCCTACGTAGCAATTAACGTCACCGACCGCAACGTTGTTCGGTTCGCCGTGCGACGGGGCGAACGTGGCATGGACGATGAGCTCGTCACCACTCCATATTCGCGCGACTCCATCTTCGTGTACGGTAGCGACTACTCCCCTATCCTCCACTCGTACATTCGCGTCTAGTCAGCCCTAGTCAAGAGTGTAATCGGCGACACCCACCTGTGAATGGTATGAGCAATCACTGGTGACACTGGTTCGGTTCTGTCCTCTAATATTTTACGACATCTCGCTGAGGGTTGAGTAGATGCCATTAGGTAGAGTCGTAGTCGCGAACGCCCCGAAAACAATGCTCTCTAAGCGCTCTTTCGACGAGTGAAGATTTAGAGACCTCAAGATTCCTCGACATCAACCTGCCGACTGGGATGTAGGTGTGCAAACCGCCACGGGGGGAAGGCTGTAGCAAAACACTCCATTTTATAGAGCAATGAAAATAGCTCACCGGCGACACCAAAGTAAGATACAACGGTTTTTCACGGCCCGCGAATGAGCGAGAAAGGTGTTACAGCTAGTTTTTGCAGGCAGTCGTGCATTATTATTATTATTTTCCCTTTATCCCTTTCTCATTTTGGGTGGCGCGAAAGATATGCGATTAGGTGGTCGCTGCGACGGTTTGGAAATATTGTCGTTTGGGGGTGACGAAAATTCCGTGTCGACACTTTTTGAGACGCTAAAATCATACTCGGTACGGAGTACTAAATGGCTGATTGGTATGGCGCTAATGGGCTCCACTTTTGAGTCGGTCCGTGGTAGCCCAGGTCGCACCGAAATTTTTGAGGGAAGTAATGCAATAATCACAGATATGGCTTGGGGGGGACGGGGCAACGCTATGCCTACATGTAAGCTCAGGCCTTTATTCTGCGTGATCCTTTGGCAAGCAAGGCAACGGCGCCACACCGCTTCCCAGGAACGATGAATGAGAAGATAGGTGGATCGCCCTTTATCACCAAAGATTGAGCCTCGTTCATTCCTTAGCTGAGATCCAAATTTTCTATTGTTTCATTGTGCAAGGGCATCTATATGGACACGCCGAGCGGCTTCCGGTGCCACCTTCGCTTGCACGCGGACAAGCCTGCCGGCTTGAAGCCAGATTGGACTTTGGGACAACCTACACGTCTGCCGTAGTCAGCAGCGTGGAGGCTTCAACGCGACACCTCCATGCCACCCACACCCATCCTGTCCAAAGGCGCGTGGGCACCTCCGGCACCGTGAAGAGTCGCCCTGGCACGGGGGTGCCGTCTTGCGTTCGATGCGACAAAGATGTGGGATTCGACGCACTGAAACGCACCGAGCAATGCTTGACGACTATGACTGCGTAGCTGTGGTCAGTCATGACTATTGATGACTGTCAGTCGCCATAAGTCTTGGCATCGCACAAATAGCGGTGTAGGTGGAATTTGGTCGTTTTTGAAGCTCGTATCATCGTTCTTGCACTA